TCTTGAAGAACAACAGTACAAAAGAAAAGGAACCGTGTTTTCTTCTTCTAATGATTGCATATATCCATTACATTGAAGGTGACTCCCAAGTGTTTTTTGATGGAAGTGGAGCTAGGACTGTAGGACATCTTTCCCCATCAATCACATCCTCCCTTGATGCAGAAGTAATTGCACAGTGTCTAGTAATGTGTGAACAAAGGACCATATCAATGCTCTGCAGATGTTCACAAAGGGAGTGTTTCCCCAATGGAGGCCAATTGTGCCCTAATTGAATGTGTTGAAAGCTTCTCATGGAGCATAACAAAACAATGCAGCTGATAATCCATTTGGAGAATTGTTGTGTTGTGACAGGATGACTTCTCATTCATTCTGCATAGGATACAAAAAGCTGGAAAGAAGCCTGAAAGTATGGACGTTGAAAGTACATTTGAAGTATGGAGTTTTTGTTCATCTTTGTGAACATGTGGTTTTGGGGAAAAAAGGGCTGGTAAGTATATTGACTGACTGAGGTGAAAATCTGAGGCACTACTTTGGGAAGAAACTTAGGGTGTGGCCTGACCTGTACCTTGTCCTTGTAGAATATGGTTTATGGAGGATCTCTTACCAGGGCATGTAACTTCACCATTCTCCTCACAGAGGTGATGGCTACTAAGAAGGTTACCTTCACTGAGAAGCATACCAATAAGCAGGATGCTAAGGACTCAAATAGAGGTCAAATAAGAGCTGACAGCACTAAATTCAAGTCCCAAGGTGGAGTTTGATCCCTGATAGGTGGGGAACGGCCTGGCTAGACCTTCTAGGAAACTGTTTGTCACAGTATTAGAAAAAAACAGTCCTTCCGGTAATATGAGGGTGAAATGCTGAAATGGCAGCCAGATGCACCTTAATGGAGCTGACTGCCAGACCTGACTCTTTAAGATGTAAAAGAGAGTTCAAAATCTTTTGAATTGTAGATGGCGTAGGAGACATACTGTGGCTAGCATCTCAGATGGAGAAATATTTCCATTTACTAAGGCACGGGTTTACAATTTTTTTTTGCTGTGCCCCCCACTTCAGAGATTCACATCCCATGTGTGCCTCCTTCTTTCTAAGAAACAGCTGGATATGCATACAGCAAGGCCTCGTTCCAAAGTAACAGGAAACTGTCTGAGATGTACCTGAGACTGTTACCTGTTCTTGAATAGAATTGAGGACATTTCCAGTTCTGGTGAGTTGTGAACAAATCCACTGTAGGAACTCCCCCTACTTGAAACACTGATTTTTGAATGGTTGTGTTGAGAGACCATTTGTGATCCAGGTTGAACAACCTACTCAGGTGGTCTGCTAAGACATTCTGAACTCCTGGGGGGTGCAAAACCATGAGAGTTAACAAGTTCTATATGCAGAAATTCAGCAACCTCACTGCCTCATGGCACAGGCTGTCTGACCTGGCATCCCTCTGCTTGTTCACATAAAACACTGCTGTGCTGTTGTCGGTGAGCAACTGGATAGCCCTTCTCTGAATGTATGGCAGGAACTGCTGACACACTATGGATATTGTAAGCAAACTCAAGGAAATTTAGGTTTAATTTGGCCTTGGGAGTGGACCTAAAGCCATGAGCTTGCAGGTTGTCCAAATGCCATCTCCACCCCATGGTGGAAGTGTCCATTACCAAGGTAATACAGAGGAGAACCAGTGATAACTGGACTTCCCTGCACATGTGTGCAAGGGATATATAGAACAGATATGTCTGAAATGATTAACAACTACAGATTCCTTCCGGCCCTAATGAAAATTAATAAAGCTATCCACCTCTGTTTATTCCAGAATAGGATCTTCCTAGGAAGTAAAGATAATGAAGCAAATGGTTCACATCATTCAAGACACTTTGTCTAAGGACCCACATATCAGCCTAGGTCGGAAATTCCTCTCCCCAAGAAGAGAAACCATGGCTAAATCAGAGTATTGTTAATTATGTAGGCATCAATCTCTCATAATTTGCAACCGCTTTCTCCCTCTCAATCTAGTTAAAAAAAACTTCAAGTTACCAAGGAGGGTGACACACTGCTTTCCTGAGCAAACTGGCACATTGCACATTGCGAGTGAATAAACAGATGGGTGGGAAAACTTTAAGTTAAGCAAGCTAGAAATGTGGTTGCAAGATTGAACATAAAATTGGGCAAACTACCTGTTACCCCAAGAAATCCAAGCCACATGTTTCACCCCAATGTATAAACTGCACATTGCTTTCCTTGCATAGCAAATAAAACCATGGATAATCTGTCTCACCCCAAATTAGAAGCTGCACATTTGCTTGCCTTGTGAGTTAGCACTACATCCTTCCATATGTGAATAATGTCTTGTTCTATTATAAGTCCTAAATAATGTGAAATGTTTATGTACAATCAAAAATATATGGAGTATGTCCTCCCAATTTAGAAGATTATAAGGATTTTGTTGGTTTGCATTATTGCACTTTAGATATAATAGGAATTTTCAGGAAGAAGGAAGAAGGTATGTTAAAAGATATAAACTAAAGTATAACTGAAATATTAAAAGAATTTGCTTAAAAGTGGGGAATCCCAATTAATAATGGGGGCTAATAATGAAATAAAATCCTTGAAATGAATTAAACTTAAAAAGCCTCCGTTAAGAATTAAATACATTTGTTATATACCAAAAAGCCATCTACTGGATACCAATGGAAGCAGCGGTGAAAATAAGAGAAATGAAATCTAATGACCCACCTGACAAGTGTCCAGTAGGAATCAGACGATGGACCCCTCTAATGAGCCTGAAACTAGGTTATATAAAACTGAGGTCACCATGTGCTCAAAAGAGTTGACTGGACCCAAAAGAAGCTGCAACATCCTACGTGCAACCAATGCCTGGACCAGCTGTATGGAAAGGCCATTCTCCCATCCCAGAGTTAACAGGATAAGAAGTGTTGAGATTTCATTTCAATGATTTTATTTCCCCTTTTATTCTTTACCATAAATAACTGAAAGTTATCTTTCTGAGTCTACACTCTCTAGTGAGACCTCAAATAACCATATTTTAGATTTAACTCATTTATAAGTCCAAGCAAACTGACCTAGGAGAGACTGAAAATGAGAACTTTGCACAATTGTTTTTTAATATTCTAAACTTGCGTCTTTTGGACTAATCCAGTCAAAGAGTAGTAACCACACACTTAAAGGGGCCTTAAAGACCAGCACATCCTTGGAAGTGTGATAAATGCATTAGGAATTGAGAATTTATTATCATAAGTAAATGTAATAAGAAATCTTGGTAATATGCATTGTTCTTTGATATAACTGCTGAGCCTCAACTTTAGTCTGTGATTATAGAATGCAAGACTGTAATGTGTATGTAGTACATACCTAGAACATTGGTTGTGTTTGCATGTAAGTGATGAGCTGTTCATTGTTCTGGGTGGATTAATAAATTGTTGGTTGGCTAAGAATAAGCAAATGTCCTTATCTGAAAAATACTGTTCAAGTTAAAAGTTGACCCGAAAAGAAGCTTGCATTAAAACTAGTAAGCTAACATTCCCTGGACTCAAGAAAAAAGGGTTATTCTATTAACACTTATCCAGTTGGAAAACCTAATTCGTTCCTTTTCACACTTCCATGTTGTCTTGGTTCATCCACCAATTTAGAGATGACTATACCCTGGCTGGTATCCATACTATCTTGTCTAAGTGTTGTAGCTGAAGATGGTAGACTGACTTGAGCCATTACTGCATACCGCCAAGATGCAGTCTGGCATAAGGGATCATATATGTACAAGCAGTTATGTTTCCTAGGAGCCTAAGGCAGTTCTGCATTGTGATTCCTGGCTGATCTTTGAACAAACAAGGGTCCTATTACAACTGGAAACCTGGGCTGTGGCAGATAAGCCCTGGCTGATGTCAAGTCCAAGACCGTCCCAATGAACCCTATTCTTTGTATTGATGACAGGATTGATTTTTCTCTGTTTATATATTTTCAGGCCTAAGTGGATGAACAGATAGAGAATCCAATGGAAACTGCTCTCCACCTGCTGACAAGAGTAGTCTCATTCCAACTATTCAATCATATATACGTGCTTGTCCCAATGGCAGAAACTGGCTGATACTACCATCATGCGCTTGGTGAACAATCTTGGCATGAATGAAACATCAAAGGGTAGTATGGTGGACTAGAAGTGATCTCCTCCTACCAGTACCAGAGGCCAGCTGTGTCTGGACCAGGTACTCCAATCTCTCAATTTCCTGCTCTTGTCAGAACATTTTCAGTGAGAGTGAGGATGCCCTGGATTCCCTGAAATGGGAGAGTGAGGACCAGTAATGACACTTTATGACACCTGGAACAGGGCTTAAAGCCAGAGGACCTTGGCAGATACTTACCCTGGTACTTGGTGAAGCCTGAAGACACCTGCTTATTCAACAATAATAAAATACATTTAAAAAAAATCAATAAATAAGGGTACAAAGTACCAAACAAGTACCACTAACTAAGAACTAGCTAACTATATACAAATGTAGTTCACAGATAAACCAGGGATGGAAAGCACACTTCAATCATCAACAGTAAGAAGGAAATGAAGGATGGGGGGGGGGGTGGCTTCTCCCTGTATACCCTTGGCGCATGAGGGAAGCCAAGGTGCAAGCATGGCTCCCTCTATGGGTATTGCTATGGAAAACTCTCCAGCACCAGTGCATGAGATGTATACACACACCTGCAGTATAATCAAAATATGCAAACACTCGAAGAAGTAGTCATCTCTTTGGAAAGTTGAAAGAACACAAATTTTTGGATTTCAGAGTGACTCAAAAAACAACTGCCTGGATATTAATACAAATCAAAAACTCAATCAATCAGAATAGTCATTTTAAGAAACTAAAAATCACTATATACATTAGGTTACTGCATTATTCTACTATAACAGTTCTAGGATTATCTTTCTCTCAACTGCATACTTTAAATAGTAATAAGAGTATTAAAATGAAACTTAGAGATTGTTACTGTGATTATACCTGTTTCAATGAAGTGTAGTTGGATCCATCAGTGCTAATTTTTCTTATTTCATGATGGTCAGCCAGAATTAAGAAAGGCTCCTCATCTAAACCACAGAAGAAAGAATATATTACATTAGGGTTTTTTTAAAATTAATGTTATGGATAATCAGGAATATAAAGCTGAAATATAGATGGTTTGAAAAATAAAATGTTACAATGCTACAGTGTTATGGATGAAAGAAATAGTTAAAACCTTCAGTTGTTTCAAGTAAGATCAATGATGCAACATAAAAATGAACAAAGCATTCAATTAATATCATTTAATGTAATTTAAAATTTCCTTTGTAATACAGGAGCCATATTAAAACTCATGGTAATTTGAAGTCCAAACTGAATGTAAAGGATATTTTTATGTTATTTATCCTGAGTTTTAAATCAATCAAGTAATAAACAACAATGCAAGGTGGAAAGAGAAAAAAGGTTACTTACCTTACAGTAACTGTTGTTCTTCAAGATGTATTGTGCATTTATGCATTCCACTGTAGGTATGTGTGCGTCCAGTGCATTCAAGTTGGAGACTTTTACCAGCAATACTACTAGGAGGCGCATGCACCCCTGCTCTCCTTGTGCTCTCAGGTGAGGGCAATAAAAGGGGCATGTGTGCCCTTTCCCTCTCCAATCTTTTGCACCACTATAAGTGAATCCAAAGTAGCACAGAAGGTGGGAGAGTCATGGAATGTACATGTAAACAACACATTTTGAAGAACAACAGTTACTGTAAGGTAAGTAACTGTTTTTTCTCCTTTGAGTGATTGCACACATTTACATTCTACCATAGGTGACTCAACAGCAGTTCCTTTACAGGTGGAGGAATTTTGGATAATCTTAACCGAAACTAAAGTACCAACTTTCGAAAGTTGGCATCATCAAGAGCGGCTTGAGTGATGGCAGAATGATTAGAAAAAGTATGCAGAGAAGACCATTTCCCACAGGGCATATATCAGCTATTGGAACATTGCCCGAGAAAGCTGAAGTAGCGTACTGCGCTCTGGTGTAGCGAACCGCTATTCTTGACCAAGGAGAGACTTCAGTGAGCTGCTGGCAGAGTTTGATAGATTCAGAAATCTAGTGTGATATTTGATGAGATGACTCTGGTTGACCCTTAGTTCTTTCAGCTAGGCTACAAAGAGTCTGGGGAGGAAGATCTGAAAGATCTAGTGAGGTCCAAATAAAACACCAGTACTCCATGAACATCCAACATATGGAATGCTTGCTCCTCCTTATGCGAATTGGGTTTCAGCAAAAACACCGGAAGGTTAATGGTTTTGTTTAGATAAAAGGTTGATACTACCTTAGGCACAAATTTAGGATGTGGTCTAAGGGATACCTTGTCCTCATGAAATACTGTAAAAGGAAGGTCAGCCAGGAGAGCCTGAAGTTCTGAAACGCTCCTCACTTAAGAAAGTGCTACCAAAAATACCAATTACACAGAAGATAAAGATAAAGAAGCTGTCTCCATAGTCTCAAAAGGGGAACCCATGAGTATCGAGAGAACTACATTTAAATCCCATAGAGGTACCAGAGCAGACACAGGAGGGTAAGTATTGGTTAGGCCCTTTCAAAATCGAGAAACAAGATGGAAAACCTCTCTATCGGCGGACATAGTGCTGAAATAAAAGCCAGGTGAACTCTCACAGAACTATTTGAGGCCTGATGATTTCAGGTGCAGGAGATAGTCCAGCACATGCATAACCTCAATATGATGGGGGCAATACCCAAACAGAAAATCTTTTCCAGTTCGATGCATACCTGGCTCTAATGGAGTCTTTTCCGTTGCTCACTAAGAAGGCCTAGACCTCTTGGGAGCACAATTTCTCATGAGTGCTCAGCCAGAGATCATTCACACAATAGGGTGGAGAGATTTGAGGTTCAGATGCAGAGATCCGTCCTGGTTTTGTGACAGAAGTTCTATAACAAGTTGTAGAGTTAGCAGTGAATGGATGGACAGCTGATGTATATCCATGAACCAATATTGTCTTGGCTATGCTGGTGCAATGAGGCTTAATGACGCTTAGTCCTGTTTTAGCTTCTTGAGCTCCACTGGAATGAGAGGAACTGGAGGGAATACATATAGGAGGTGACTAGACCAGGGAAGAAGAAAAGCATCTGTGATAGAATCTGCAGTGCTGCTAGCCTTGGAGAAAAATCCCATGCACTTGTTGAGGTTGGTCACAAACAAGTCTATTACTGGGTACCCTAGCAGTGGAAAACATGGAGGAGAATGTCTTTCTGATTGATCATTCAAGATGGTCTGTGAAAACCCCCTTGTGCAATCTGTTATTGCGTTTCTCACTCCTGAAAGGTGAAAAGCCTTCAGGGAAACATTGCAGACTCCAAAGGAGGATAGTTTCCCAGCACAGCTGAGACAATCTTGCATCTCCTTGATGTTCAGGTAAAACATACCTGTGGTGTTGTCTGTGAGAGCTTGCACCACCTGTTTTCTGAGGGAGGGCATAAATACTACCAGGCCAGATGAATAGTTTTAAGTTCCAACATGTTTATATGCAGGGGAAACCTTCTGGATATAAAAATGAGACTCCTTTGCACATATTCCTTGAGTCTAATCACCAACTCGGAGAGTGAAGCACTCAAGTAGATACACAAATCTGCACATCCAGATGGCGCCTAGAAGGAAGAAATACTGAATGAAATCAGCCTTGCAGACAGTGAAGGTGAAGTCTGGCATGCAGAGTTACATACATCCACAAGGCCATGTGGCACAGGAGATGAAGGCAGGTATGCACTGTTGTCATTGACCTGGACCTGAGGTCACTGGAAAGGGCGGCTACAGATAGGTACCTGTTCTTTGAGAGATAAGCCCTGGTTGTTCTGTCATCGAGGTTTGCTCCTATAAAAATTATGCATTGAGTGGGTTGTAACTGAGATTTCTCCAAATCAATTTCAGGCCTAGATAAGATCACTAGGACATTGTTTTGGATCTGGTCACTTGATGGAATAGTCCTATCTCCTAGAGCTAGAAGGGACCTTGAAAGGTCATTGAGTCCAGCCCTGTGCCTTCACTAGTGGAACCAAGTACTCATTTTGCCTCAGATCCCTAAGTGGTCCCCTCCAGGATTGAACTCACAACCCTGGGTTTAGCAGGCCAATGCTCAAACCACTGAGCTATCCCTCCCCTACCTACTCCAGCCAATTGTTCAGGTAAGGAAATAGTTGAATGCCCAAATGATGGAGGTGGGCTGTTACCATTGAGTGAAGACCCTAGGGGCTGTTGACAAATTTAAAGGGAGCACTGTGTACTAGTAGCGGTTGGTGCCTACCACAAAACAAAGGTACTTCCTGTGGGAGGGATGTATCACCGCATAGAAGTATACATTTTGTAAATCGAGGGAAACATACCAATCTCCTATTTCCAGGGAAGGGATAATAGAAAAGAGGTTAACCATCCCAAACTTGATCTTTCTGATGACATAGTTTAGCTTTCTAAGGTCTACAATGGGACAGAGGCCCCCAGTTTCCTTTGGGACCAGGAAGTGCAAGGGAAAAAAGCCTTTTCCTCTGTGTTGGTAAGGAACTTCCTCTATCTCTCCCAATTAAGTGAAGAAAGTAAATAAGGAAGTGTTATTTACTCCTGCTCATAACACAAAAACTAGGGGTCATCAAATGAAATTAATAGGCAGCAAGTTTAAAACAAACAAAAGGAAGTATTTTTTCACACAATGCACAGTCAAACTGTGGAACTCCTTGCCAGAGGATGTTGTGAAGGTCAAGACTATAACAGTGTTCAAAAAAGAACTAGATAAATTCATGGAGGATAGGTCCATCAATGGCTATTATCCAGGATGGACAGGGATGGTGTCCCTAGCCTCTGTTTGCCAAAAGCTGGGAATGGGCGACAGGGGATGGATCACTTGATGATTACCTATTCTGTTCATTCCCTCGGAGGCACCTGGCATTGGCACTATCAAAAGACAAGATACTGGTCTAGATGGACCTTTGGTCTGACCCAGTATGGCCGTTCTAATGTTCTTACGTAATTCTGGACGAGACCATAGTTCTTGAAGTTACACAGTCTCATGAGAGGGGTCTGTTAAAAGGGAGGGGAAAGGGGGGATGGGAAAAGAAAGGGAAATTAATTGGATAACATATTCCTCTTTTACTGTGCTAAGTACCCACTTGTCTGATGTGATGTTTTCCCAAGCACGGTAAAAAAGGGATAAGCATAACTCAAAGGAAGGAGATAGCACTGGCACATTGTCCATTACCAAAAAGTCAAAATGACTGCTTTGACGTCGTAGACATCTGGTGAGAAGGTGAAGATGGCTAGCAACATTTAGGAGGTCTTGACCTCTTCTTGGGAGGGATATTGTGGACTCTGTTGGAAAGAGGGTGTATAAAAATACTGTGACCTAACTAGGTTCCTTTTTGTAGCTGGAGTGTAAACTCTTAAAGAGTGAAGAGGTGCATGGTATCACTTGTTTTTGTAGAAAATTGTTAACACCCTTCAGATGGTAAGTCCTCTCTTGTGATGTGCATGCTCCTTTGGGATGCCTGAAGCCTGCAGCCAGGAAGTATTTCATATAGAGACTGCACTGGCCATGGAGCATGAGGCAGTAGCAGTGGATCTGTTGCTACCTGAAGGGATGTTCACACTATAAGATGTCCCTCAGACACTAATGCTAAAAACTGGTCACAAAATTCCTCTGACAGTTTATCAGAGAACTTGGAAATAGCAGAGAAATTAATAAAGTTATACTTAGTTAAAAAAGCCTGGTCATTGGCAACTGGCTTTTGTAGTGTAGTAGTGGAATAGACTTTACAGCTGTATAAATATAGCTTCTTAAGCTTCATATCTTTTGGCGTGGACTTAGGATGGTTTTGACAAGGCTGCTCATTACCACATCCTACTACCAGAGAATCAGGAACTGGATGAGTAAAGAAATGCTCAAACCCTTGCTGAGGAGCCTGGAATAGAGGCTAGAGTCTGTCAAAGAGTCGTTGCAGGCTCTAACAAGGCCTCATTAATGGGAAAGCCAAATTTTCCTAGAGTAGAAGTCTACAAAATATCCAGGAGAGTGTTCAGATTTTCCTGCACAATCTCCGCCTGCACTCCCAGAGAAGTAACCATCCTTCTCATGAGATCCCGGAAGACTTTAAAATCTTCCGGGTCGGAGTGAGTGGAAGAGAAGTTGATTCCAGGGTAACGGCTTCATCTGGTGAGGAAGAAGGAATGTGAGAAGGGGCAATAAAGGCCTTTTAGTAATTCACTCTCCTCCATGTCAGGTTCCATGACAGCGGGTTGAGGAATAGGCGCAGGATACTGAAAAGATGTCTCATGCACTGAAAGTGAGTGGAGACATTCTCCCAGGAAGTGAATGAGATGGGGGTCTAAAATCCCTTGGTGCAGCCCAAGACCAATATGGCCATGGAGGATATTGCACGGTCATACCCCATCAGTGGTCGGGGACCCCAAGCTGCAACTTTCCTGCATGAGAACCAGTCTTGATCCTTAGACCTGATAATAGAAGATCTATAGGGAGAGCTGAAGGATCTTGGAGGACAGACAGGTCCTTCCCCTTCTGAGCCCATAGAAGATACATAAGCCTCTTCATGGTAGTGGGTAGCTGTTCCCATAGGTGTTCTTATGGCTGATGTGTGGGATACATACCAGGGTCAATAAAAGATGCAGGTTGGAGTGGCTGAAAAGCTGATGAAGAGGTTGGTACCGGCGGTGCTGGAATAGACACTGTGTGTGTTGTCAGTGCATCAGTGGAGCTGAATGGATAGTCAGTGCTGATTGCATCATTGGTGCCAGGCATGTCGATGGTGCCAAGTGAGATATCGGTGCTTGGGCGCACTGGCAGAGGGGATTGTGTAGTCAGTATCAGTTAGGTAAATATCAGAGCCAGCTGCAGTAGAGAGAGTCAGGCAGGGGAAAACAAAGAAGGTCCCTTGCTGCTAGGAAGGCCTGAAGAGTAGAAGGCACCTCAGTTGAATGTATTAGTTCTGACAGTGCCAACAATATTGGAGGGTCCAGAGACCAATGGGAAGGCCCTGGAACAAGTGAAGACACTGGCCTCAGCGGCCCACATGGAGCCGGAGTCAACAGTACTACCTCTGATGGAACAAGTGAGCACTTCGATTTGTGAGGTTTCAAACCCGTACCAGAGGATTTACCAGATGAGAGTTTGGGAGAAGACCGAGACTTAGAGGTCTTGTCACAGTCTGAATGTTTAGATCTCTTCAACCTAGATAGAGAAGAGGAAGCAAGACATTCACTCCCAGATTTATGTTTGGAGTCAGAAAAATCTAGAGGAGTACTCTGACTTGACCCAGAGTCCCCGGGGTCATGATTGGGACTCGGCTCTGATGCAGGTTATGTCACCTCCTTCAAGAGATGATCGTTAAGGTAACAGTCTCTCTAATTCTTAGTGTGGATAGGAAAGGAGGTACAAATAAGACATTTGTCCCTCCCATTTCCCTCACCCAAACAAATCAGACAACTCTTGTGCCTAGCCATAAAACCTGAGAATCTTTTCATAATAAATTCTCCAGGTACTAATAAAAGTATAGCTAAAATAACCACACTGGACTATACTATCTATAAAAGTTGTATACAGGTAAATTTTCAAAAGTTGCCTGACCAAAGCTAAAGCCACGGGGAGTTCCAACTCTTGCCATGGTAGATATAAGGAACCACAAGGGAGCTGACAGACATACTCATTTTATGCCTTCTCCTGAGAGCACGAAGCGAGAGAGGGCACATTCGTCTCCTAGTGATACTGCTGTGCACTTGGCGCACAAACATCTACAGAGGAATCTATATGTGCACAATTACTCGAAGGAGCACAAGCAATGTTCAAATTCTGTGAATGAGTTTTTACTATAGTTTTTATACTATAGGTAAGACTAATATCATTAACTGTGTTACAAACTGATAATTTATATTTGTTAAGTTTCAGTATATACTTGTAACGCTGTTTTATCACTATGGAGTATATCATATGCTGCTGTTGCAAACAAAAGGCAATTTGATAGTGGCATATCATTTGAAGTTTACAGAGATTTTCATAGTGTGAGTAAATCTAAAAAAAAAAAAAAATCCCATGTCTCTGAAAAAACTAAATTAATTGCTACTAGACTTCAATCAGTTTTGTTTTGTTTTTCCCCAAGTTTCTTCATTTTCTCCTGGTTTCCCACTATTTTATCAAATAATTTCAAACACATTTGACGTGAACTGCAATAAAATCTCACTTTCTGTCTTTATTACTGCTATATTATCAATGAAAGTGTTTGAAGATAAACTGGAGGATAAATACAGAATAATTATAAGAATGACAAATATAATTTAACACTTGATATTAACTGTTTATACACTGTGCTAAAATGATGTGCTGTACAGTGTACACCCATTTCAGCTATTTTAGCTAATACTTCATACATTCTGCATTCATTTCAAACTTAACATAGGACATTCTCCAATTCTTTGATGGTCTGAGATATCTCCTTCAGGACTGGCTAATTTAGTGTGTCGTGGAAACAGGCTGCTATGGTGGGCTAAAGAGGCCAGGTTAGGATTTCTGGGTGGACTCAATAGCATCTGGAAAAGCCTCTCACAGGCTGGGAATGACTCTTACCACAGCCAGCCTTGCTCCAACATGAACAGCTACCAACTTAAGTTTGAGAACTTTGTCATTAACACTTTGAAAGCTTTACATATTTCAGCTCCAGAATGAATCTCGGATCCTATTCCCTCCTATTCTAGGCTCCACTCCTTCCTCTCATCTGACTGCTCTGTTCCCTGTAAATGTGCATGTGCCCTATAAGGTAAGGGATAGGAGACAAGAAAATCAGATCCCGTCTCTCAACTCTGCTTCTTCAGCTTCCTCTCCCATTATTCATGGAAGCTGCAGGGACAAGAGTCTCACAGATACAGGGAGTCAGGACTTCCTGTCACTGAGGCAGAAAGTGGCCTACTGTTGGAAAACCAGGCCTGCAGGGAGTGCAGGCAGGTCAAGAACAGGAGCATCTCTGCCTGCGAGGGAGATGAGGATTTCCAACACTTTCGGAGGAGTCCAGCAGAGGAGGAATGGAGTGTATTCTGTTTGTGCGTGGGAGATGGCTTGTAACTGGTAGAGTCCCATACTTCTAATTCTCCCTCCTTGACCTCCTGTTCCTCAGATAACTGACACCATGTAATCCTGACGGTTGAAATAAGTCAGGAAGCAACACATATAGGACATGGAGAGAGATAATTAAGCTAAGTTCTTATATATATATATATTTACTATGCATACCATTTCAAATAGTCCATTTTGCACTATGGCAGGAGATAATGTGATAGTACTGGTTTCTTTACAATAAGAACCGTGAACTGGACATTTTTAATGCAAAGATCAGAAACACCATATAATTTTCTTTTAGCCTCTTTTTTCCCCATGATTAACTTTTTATGCAGGCTTAATGCACTGGGTGATTGTATGCTAAAGTGTCAGCAAGTTATTCTAAAAATGAAAATAAATAAAATAAAAAAATAATGCATCAGCAGCAGGCTTTTTAATATTGTACATTACATTTTTTACTATTACCATGTGACTGAGCAGCAGGCAATATAAAGTGATTTTTTTTCTGCTTCTGAAATTTCTCGGTGCCTAGTGCACACTTAATAATTCACAGTATCATAATGCACTGTAATTATCCACATAGAATCCTGTGTGTGGAATACACAATAAAAGTAGAAATTATTCTCACATCCAGACACCTTGCACTGAATTCAGATTTCTGTTTCTGACTGAAAAGGACGCTTTAAACCATCTTTCTAGTCATTACAAAGGCTGAAACACCACAGATTTCAGAGTTAAAGCTTTTCACAAATAATTTTGGATATATTTGTACATAAATAAAATATGATACCTGAAAGAGATTTACAGCCATTGAGATTATCAGGTTGTGTTTCATACCCATCTGCACATAAGCATTTGTAAGTTCCATATGTATTGATGCATTGCTGGCTACAGGGAAAGCCAGATGAACATTCATCAATGTCTACACATGTTTTGCCATCATCCTTGAGCCGGAATCCAGGCCAGCATTTGCACTGGGAAAGAAAAACAAGAACTCATTTTTTATTATTGTTGGTGTCTTTCTGTTTGGCATAAACTTACTAAGAATGGCTTAAAAAATAGAAATCAAAGACAGAGTAGTCTGGTACCAACAATCTTTCAAAATGACAACTTTAAAATAATCTTTTTTAACCAACTGTTTTAATTTCAGGTAACTTTCTATGTAACAGGAATTTATCAAATGGCACATTAGAGATGTTTATTGGAGAATTGTCCTACTGAAGTGAAACTAGCAGGATTTGCTTTTTCTACAGTTTAACAAAATGTTAGGCCTTCCTCCCTTTCTACTCGACTATGACCATATGACAAAATTAACATTTGGAATGAACAAGAACACTAGAGTGTAAAGGTCTAAAGAAAATACGGTTACTTACCCTAGTACTGTGGTTATTAAAGATGTCCTTGTGATTGGATTCTTTTGGTCAGCAATGTCCGTTTGGGCTGAGACTGTACCATAGGAACCTTTGTGTTCCCCATTTCCTCACTGCCCAAAAAGATCAAGGACAAACTGCATCCAACTGTCCTCCAATTCCTTCACCAACACAACATCAGGATTCCGTAGCAGCAGGGAAGGAGGGTGGGTCATGGAATGCATGTGAACACCACATCTCAAAGAAACAGTTACCGTAGGGTAAGTAACTTATCTTTCTTCTTCGATTGACTGTTCCCATGCATTTCACTTCTGGTGACTTGTAAGCAGTGACCCCATAGACAGGAGGCTCATGCTCAGTGTCTATTTAAATAGTGATTGCAGGTCAGCTATGTCAAAGCAAGCTTCTGATCTTGATGTCTTGCATAGGAAATAGCGTTTTGTGAAAATATGGACTAATCCCCATGTAACTAACCTTCAAATATCAGAAACTGGTCAGCTTCCTACGGAAGGTGCAGAAGCTGCCTGTGATGTGGAATAGAACCTGCATAGAAGGATCTAATCTAGCTCACTCACAGCACGATACGATGTAATTAGATATCCATTAAAGAGTTTCTGGGTTGATATTGTCAGACCTTTAATCCTATCTGCAGACTCAACAAATAGTCTAGGGAAGCTCTTGCATGGTTTTGTCCTACCCAGGTAAAGTGAAAGAGCCCTAACTACATTGAGTGTGGGGGGCTTGGCTTCCCCCTGCTTGAATATGGCTTAGGAAAGAAAACTGGCAGATGAATCATCTGATTCAAATGAAAGTCAAATGATCTTTGGTAAAAACTTCAGTTGAGGCTTAAGGGTCACCTTATACATACAGAACACTGTGTTAGGCATGCAGCCGTAAATATCATATTGTTGAAGGCAGGACCCATTAACCCAGATAAGACTAAATTTAGATTCCAGGAAGGAAGGGGGTCAAAGAATGTGGGAAACACATGAATCAGGCTCTTTAGAAATCTAGCAATTATAGGGTGGGAAAAAATGATGTGACCTTGGATGGGGCAAAGGTAAGGTGTTACTGATACTAAGTTTACTCTTACAGAGTACTTTAGAGATAAAAGGGTAGTCAGGAATTAGGGTATCTGAAGGAGACAGATAGTGTTGTGTTGCCCAAATAAAGAATCTATTTTACTTGGCTGCAGAGAATCCTTCCTGTTGGTTGACATAACACATCGCTGTTGTGTTGTCAGTCAGGATCTGGCCCATTAGTCCACATAACACAGGAAGAGACACTGTGGAGGCTAGTTTTTTATACAAAGGACAATCTCTTCTACAGTTTAGAGGCCTTGGGTCTGAAGATGGTCCAGATGAGGTCCCTACCCAAGCATGGAAGCATTTGTCGCCAGTATCTTGGTGAAAAGAGGTGGAGAAAATGGTACTACTTTGCAAACCTTGAGAGGGTGTTTCCAGCAATTTAACAATGAGAGTACTTCTCAAGGGACTTGCATCCTCATGTCTAATGTTTGTTGGGTAAATATACATATTTCAACCACCCTTGCATGTAGCATAAGTGAAGTCTGGCATGCTGTGTGACATATGTGCAGAAGACCACATGACCGAGAAGTCTGAGACAGACTCTTTCTGAAGATTAAGGGTGAGCATGCAGCTGGTTGATGAGATCTACTGTAGTATAGAATGTGTCCTGTGGCAGACAGGCTCTTGCTTTGTAGAACTTAGCGCTGCCCCCATGAATTCTATTTTTTGGGTTGGTAATAGTGATTTTTTCCCTTATTGATCCTGAAACCCAGGGTGGTGAAAAGTTGCAGGAACAAGTGAAAGGAGTTGTTCACCTGTTGTGGTGATCTTCCTCCAGTGAGCCAACTGTTGAGGTGAGGGATACCTGGATTCCTCACTTTCTTAGTGAGCCATAATGACAGCCAAGCATTTGGTAAACACACTAGTCCTTGGTGCTGTTGAAAGACTGAAGGACAGGATTCTGTCC